TGTTCCTTGCGTGATTAGATATGAAGAAGCAAAATGTTTACGATCCGCTGATCTCCAAGAGACAGCAATACCTCCTTGCGACACAACTCGTTCGGGCGGTATTGAAGATTGGTATGTCATCGCTATTTTCTGTACCAAAAAAGTCCTTTGGCTGAATCCTTTTGCGTGTGTCCAGACGATGTCATTGTTGCAGGTGAACTCGACGAGTAGAGCACAAAAAATTGTAGAAATAGATACTAGTAGTATAATACGACTGGACAATGCTCCTTAACCCAATTTCTCTGACGCAGAACGGAGGGCGAGACGAGAACATGCATGAAGATCTAGAGTACCTGTAAACTGGAAATGAGACGACGAGAAGGCTAAGGCAAAAAATGAGTTGATCCAAGAATAAATTATCTATGGTCTATCCAAGTCGATCATGATGCCACACCAATTTCTACTTCACTAGTCTCTACTACGGTAGGCAGCTTTTCCGACTCTGCAATAGCAGCAGACTTGGACGTGTTCGACCTCAACCTTTTCAAGCTCTTCCTCCTCGCCTTCACTCCTCATATCCCACTCCTTCAATCCAACTCGTCCACCCAACGCCTTCCACCTCTCCATCCTTTTCTTCTTCCTCTCATTCACCAAGCCCACCAGCGCAGGCCAATACTTGTCATGCTCATATACGAACTCCACATCCCCACCAAACTCTTTCCAGCAGGCATCTTGAGTGAAGATCCCCTCCTTGACGATTTCGGGATTGAAGCGCATTTTGGGGCGAGTGACGGGGTCGACGAATGGGGTGATCACTTTGAAGAAGGCGTTGACGAGGAAGGGGAGATTGATGATGATGGCTTTGCCAAGATGTTCGGGGTAGTGGGTTTGGAGGTGGCTGAGGACCTGGAGGTGAAGATAGAGAATTAGATTGGGTTAGTTTACGAAGGATCATTCAACGGAGGACGTACAGTACGAGCAACCCCGAGGGTGGGGTTCTTAGCTTTGTCGGCAAAGTTGATCATAAGATCCAAGTTTCTGGAAAGATGAAGAAGAGTAAAAGAATCACACAAGCGATATGAGTATATAGATTTAAACAACTAAACAACAGAGATTCAAGATCGAATACATACTCGATACCAGGACCCATAAGGTCAATCACCCTCTCGAGCATCCAGAACGTAAATTCGATCTGACCGGTACCTTCATTGGTGTTCTGACGACTTGGACAGAGGTATAATGCTGGTCTTCCGTCGACGTCGAATCCGAATATAACCATTTTGCCTGTTACTGCCTAGGGAATGTATAATTATCATGAAGCTGGTACACAACTGCAATTGAGATGATGAACACATACCTCTGGTTCGACGTACTCTGCAGTAAGCTTGTCGTAGAAGCCGAATTCACGTCTCCATCGGAGAGTTCCTTCAATTCGCTTGATAGCTGCGTCCGAACCTGCCCATTTCGTAGCTCGAAGGTACCTATAAAACCAGTAGAATCAATTATTCCTGTCATTTCCCTGAGGGTAACACATTGTTTTACCGAAGCATGCATTCGAACGACTAAAAACACGTCAATATCGCATTCACCAGAATATATTTCGGAGCCATAAGACATGACATACCAGCCAACACTTCTCCTCATCACTCAAACTCGCCTTCTCTTCCTCTACTTCCGGTAGCTGGTAATTCTCTTGGGAGAAGTAGGTCAAGACTTTCTCGAATTCCGCTCTCTGTTTGTCAGTCAGGTCTGTTCCTTGAGGTTTGACGTGTGATGCATCCGCGAGGTTGGGTGGGACTACAGGGACATATGCTTGAGGCATGATTAGAGTCTATTTCAGTGTTCAATGTCTAGTATTCAGGATTAAACTTTGGGAATTGGGATTAGTCGTGTAGTGTCACAGTAACAGGGTAGTATGTGTAGGTCAGAGAAGAACAAAACCCAACGTCGTGGGGCTTATATGTTGATGAAAGTCGAAAGAACAGGAAGCCGACGAAGATCAGATGGGATGCAGGGAACCTCTGCGTGAAACAGATTATATTTCAATGACGGCCCTGAACTCAAGCTGCGAGACAGGGTATATATGACGGCCTCTCGGAAGAATTACAAACAGCGATTGGACAAGAAGGAGCGCTAGAATATTTGCCGTCGTATGTTCACCGATTTAGTCTTGGCTCTTGACATATTTATGCAGGTTAGTGTTATACTAGTGGGGCTGGCTTAATGTTTAAGTTGTTGTAGTGGAGGCGGAGGATGGGAGAGAAATATTGATATAATAATGATGTGTTATATATTGGGATGAGATAATGCATGTAAAATGTACAGATGATCGAGGTAGGCATGAGGAGATGAGATAGGTGGGAGTATGAGGAGATAAGGAGTATGGGAGGGAGTAGGGGATTAGAGGCTATGCGATTAGAATAGTCCAAGCAGAGCAATCAAAAACCAAGAACAAATGATATAGAACAAACGAGTAACAGAGAAACGAGACATCCACAACACGACGCGACAGAGACGATTATAATTGTACAAGATTACGCATCATATAAGAACTTACGCGCAGGAGACATGGTATGTGGTATGTCTATAGAATAGAGGTATGAAGCCTTCGCGGCTTGTCGTGTTTTATTGCAAATTGAAAGTCAGGATCTGAGATTCAAGGCTGTGAGGGCTGGAGAGGGCCGGAGAGTGCATGGTAGAGATTCGATAGCGAGTGCTGGAAAACGTGAGCCGGTAATCTCAGGAATGGAAGATGTGGCGTAAATCGAGATTGGGACGTACATGAAGACTAAAGGGATTTGGGGACCAACAACAGAATGTTTCGTGATCATGCTGCTTCGATCGAAAGCCGAATATGGGTTGAGTAGATCTCGATCATACGTCATGAAGATATCTCACCTCAAGGCCAGATAATTTCTTCAACGGAGCGAAGGAGTACTTTCGGCTTCAGCAGTAGATTTTTCGACAAAAGGTCTTCGTGTCCAGATCTAGAGGCCTTCTTCGCATGTCCATTGGGAATACCGTTGTGATTGGCGTGTCCATGAGCATGAGTATTAGAACCATTGAGAGAAACCGAAGCAAGGTGGCCGTTGAGCCTATTCACTCCATTCACCCCATTATGCTCACTTCTACTTCCATTTTCATTTCCGTTCCCTTCTTTCGCAACTTTCCTCGAACAGACCAAACCAAGTTCGACGGTACACAACACCCCGCCCTGCTCACTCCCATGCCCCTCATATACATTGTCCATCTTTGACTGGTCGAAGATCTCCGTCCCACTTCCCGGTTGGTGCCCGTACCAAACCACATCAAACGCCGCAGACATCACCCCTTCCTTCATCGCCAGTGTGATCCTCTCGGCTCTCTCCGATATTCTCGCAATAGTAGGTCCAAACCGTTCTCGAAGGGGTTCATGGTGGATAGCCCGAGGGTCTGTACAGCCTGAGAGGACGAGGATGACGAGGATGCCGCGGAGATTAGTTTCGGTGAGAGTCTCGAATGCAGAACGGACGTTGGGGTGTTTCGCAGATGAGACGAGAGACCGGGCGTGTGCGTGGGTTAGGGCTCGCCAACGAGAGGTAGTTGGTTGAGGTTCTGGTAGCGTAGGGACATGAGCCGAGTTAACGCCACGGGCGAGAAAAGAGGCGACTCACCTGAGAGATGCATGTGGCGGAAGATTCCAGAGAGGGCTTCATTTAGAGGTGCTGGAGCACCGAAGCAGAACGTATCGAGTGCACGTCCTATACATACGACCTCCCAAGCCTGGATGGCGAATTGCACCAACGTAGGATCAGCCGAGTGGTCTCTGGAGAGGAGTTTCGTCAAGACAGGTCCAAGAGCGGTCGCCACTAGATCAATGTCGGAAGGTCGCTTGAATTCCGGTTTACGATTAAATGAGGAGGCGAATTCTTCAGCGATAGATGCGGCGACCTGAACGATCTCGGAGTTGAGGTCGCGAAGTGCTTGGATAAGTTGAGCACCCGAAAAGTCGTCGGTCTTGCTTAAGAAAGACTGCAAGCTGGCGACTTCTTCTGAGCGGTCCTGCAAGGCACGAGTGGTGACATTGCAATAGGACAATAGGGTATCATATGCCTTGCCAAAATCTTTCGGGTTGTTAGGTGGTGTGAGAGGGACCTCTGGTGGCGCACCAGAGGTAGAGAGACCGGGAGGGACGAGGACACGGAGAGAGTCTATTGTCTGTTGGTTCGCCTTGAGCTGTTTCTCAAGCTGTTCGAGCTTTTGCTTGAGAGAGACATTCTCGCCTTCGAGGGCGGAAATGTGCTCGCTGGCCTTTCGACGATCGTGCTCGCGCTGACGTTCCCTCTCTCTGTCCCTTTCACGGTCCCTCTCCTTTTCCCTCTCCTTCTGGTGGGGTTCCCAATGGCGATCCACGGCCTGATTCGTCCTGAACCTATGTGGGGGATAAGAAGAAGGGGGGACGTCGGTGTAACCGAACGCGCTCGGGTTATCAGTCGGAGTGCGTGTCAGAGCCGCTTCTGGGTCGGCCAGATCGTCAGATAATCGAACGGAAGGCAAGGAGGGTAAAAGCCAATCAAGTAAAGTCCAGAGTGAGTTCATCAGAGATGAAGAATATATACTGCCCGAGGCATCCAAGTGAGCGTGAGCGTAGAGCTGCTACCTGCGGATTGTTCCAAGGTTCATAGAATGATGAATTTGTAGATCTATTGTTCCCGTTTTCTGAGTTGTTGGATAGGTTTATATCGTATGTCGTAGACCAGATAGCACGTCTGAGATAATAGATACCCCAGAGTATGATGCAACTATGGGGATAAGATACATACGTAGGCAACCAGCGGTGTGGAACCATTTTCCCTTCCGCCTCGCCTCGACAGCATGGCTCAATACATAAAATTTGATTGTGCATCACAATAATATATGATAGTAGTGTAGTAGATGACAGTTTATTATTCGATGTAATTTCTCTGACATTGTTACAGGTATATGTCTGGATGTATACATATCACTATCTTGCCTCGCCTGCAAAACCATCATACACGCAGTGGACACTGTGGGGTTTGAACCCACGGCCTAATGCATGCAAAGCATTCGCGCTACCACTGCGCCAAGCGCCCATAAGCGTTTCACCCTTCGATCATGATTGTCGCTCTACAAGCTTGGTCGTGATTGAAATACTTTTAACTTACACTCCTAGTCTTACAAAGTTACATAAATCAGCGTAACATCATTATGCCACCATCCAAGTCAAAGTATCCAATTAGGGGCCCCCTTGTCGACATTTGCGACCGTATCATTCTATGTGAATGACCCCAACTTTAAGAGCCGACTCACGAAAGAAGAGAGACCCCGTTGTTTCACTGTGTCGGGCTCCTCGCACCCGAAACCACTAAACGTTTTCCGTTATAGGAACATATTATAGTGACTCCCCCGAACTACCTGCTACAGACCGGGGTACTTCTGGCGATATATGGTCTTCCGGTACACCTGGGAAACCTAGCAATAGTTCTGGGCTACAACATTGGATCAAAATTTCTGGCAGTTGGGTGAAGATCGAACTAGACTCTGACGAGCGGGTTCATCACCCTTTTCTTCCAAATGTATATCTTTTAGAAAGGTTTTGGCTCTATGACAGTGATGTGGATAGAGAGGCTGAACCTCTAGGTGAGTTTCATGATGTTGTGCTCATAAGTGTCCAATATCCATCCATCAACAGGCATAGAAGCTTCTACCAGTGCAAGCGCGGCGAGTGAGTTGTATTTCGTTTCATCATTACTATCACATTGTTTGACACTGTTTCCTCCCAGCAAGTGACCGTAGTCTCAAACGAACGCGTACCGAAGACGAACGTGCAGACAAGCGTCCTACTAAACGCCACCGCAATCTCTGGTACGAAGATGGCAATGTCGTTGTACAAGTAGAAAACACACGGTTCCGTTTATTTCGCTCGAAACTAGCTAAACAATCGCCAATCCTCAAACGTCTCCTTGATGAGAGATTTTCCTTGTTGAGGGACGAAGAGGAAGCAGATGTAAAGTCGTTCAACCCGGGATTTGAGATTGTGGAGAATTGTCCCGTCATCTCGTTTGATTCCACAGGTGTTCGATTGAAGGATTTTGAGGAACTAATGACCGCAATTGAGGACGGATAGTATGTCTATATCAAAACGCGATGCTTGACTGCTTGCTAACGATCATAATTAATCCTAGCCCATCCCACCTTGAGCCTCCTCTATTCTCCTCACTTGCAAGAATACTGGAAGCCTCTCGGATACTCCAAGTCGAACGCAGGGAGCAGTGGGCGCGCAATGCCATCAATCGATTTATTCCTCTGACCTCGATACCATTACTTCTACACATCTCCCAGATCCTCTCTTAGCGATCAAACTATCCAAGTCTTGTGAAATTCCCGAGATTCGCACTCGTGCATTTTACGAATTAATTCGCTCACCGAATTTTACCTTCTCTCCCGAGAATGTCAAGCATGTTGGACCGTCAGAGGATGGCTCATGCCTAACTTCTCTACCTATCCATGCCAATGATCTAGTAAAGGTCGTCTCCGTACGAGAGGCTATACAACTAGAATGGATCATGCAAACGACATGCGAAGACTTTAAGACATCCCGTGCCCCCACATGTCCTCTTCGTCTACCAAAATCAGAGGACCCCGGCTCATCTTCGAGTTCAACGAATTCCGGTTGTTTAACTGAAGAAAACCTACGTCATCATTGGGAGAATATCGTCGTCGAGTGTGGGATTTTTGATGTGGGGTTGCTCGATCCCATTGAAGGAGCTAGGTTGCTTTCGGAGAAGACCTTGTGGAAGAAGTCTTGTCATGGATGTGCACAGCTCCAACACGATATCTGGACTAGGATTAGGGAAAACCTTTGGACGAAGTTGGGAGAACTTGTTAATTAGGAGACAGGTACGTTCCATTTTGTTGGTTTTATTGTCACAACTCAATTTGTATCTTCTTCTAGCAGTCCTTTCCTTTGCTTGCATATGTCCGTTGACTCTCCCTGATCTGTGATGATCAGAACCCCTCTCTCAATGCCAACTATCTTCGGTCATATACTTGACTGGTCTCTATTAGTGATTTAGGACTCGAATGACACGTAAACACTATTTACCAGTTCCTCCTGGCAGTGTATGTCTCGAAATCACATTATGATACATAGCTTGAGTGCTATATGTATTATCGAGTTAATCCTGGAGAGGTGATTCCTTCAAATTACATAAAGAGTCTGGACTTTGCAACCGACATACCAATCACGGCATGTCGCGTGGTAGTGTCGATCTGTATAGTCACCCCAAACTCAAAATGGCTGAGGGACCATCTCTTCCCTGGGACCACCATTCGGAAGCCCACTATGTTAGATCAAGGTACGTCTCTCAGATTGCAACTAAAACACACCCATGACTTATTGGGACGTGTATCGGACATTCCTTATGTCTCGATCATGTAGATGAGTCAACACACGAATCCACAAACTGTTTATCAGATGCGCGTGCGGAGGCCGAAACATGTATCGTTCGCCATAGGGAAACGATAGACAAAGAACTATGCGCTGTTGCTGACAAGAGCCGATTCCTAAACAGCCTCCTCCCCGTCTCCAAGCTGCTTCCCGAAATTCTCATAGAGATATTCATGAAGTTTGCCACCAATCCCATGCATTATTTTACCTCGGGTTTTGAGAAGCCGGTGTGCATGATCACCGTTTACGATTGGATGGCTGTTACTCGTGTATGCCATTCGTGGCGTCAAGTAGCCTTGGGGGCACCGAAATTATGGAGCTATATTTATCTTGGGTCTACAGAACACGTTAAGACTTTCCTTGCCCGCTCGGGCCAAACTCCTCTTCATATTCGACCCTGGAACATGTTCATGTCTATTTCCTATGGTGGATACTTCCCGAATCCGTTCACAACCGGGTTTCTACCCATCCTTCAATCCGCCCGTGCAGCCTCACTTCGGCTCATCTTAATGCAGGTGTATCGTATAGAATCGCTTTCTCTGAATGAAAGCGAGCCTGTCTTGGAACGAGTCTTCTCCCAATATGAAGAGACCATCTTTCGTGCTCCCGCATTGAAGAGCATAAAGTTCAAGGCTCCGTCGGACAGCAATATATTCCCGCATATCCTCAAACGATGTGACCTTCCATCATTAACGCACGTTGAGGTTCGGGGATTCCATGACCCATGGCAACAACCGTTTCTCCAACCCAAGCTCACAAGCCTCTCATTACACAACACTCTAGACCCGCATAACCCGGATTACATGCGGGGGTTATTATCATTCCTTTCCGACCAGCCGCAGTTGGAATCTCTGACTGTTCACAGCGATATTTGTGAATGGTGCAGTGAAGAGTTTATAACCCACATCGATAATATTTGGATGTCAGATCCTGTCGAGCTATCACGTTTACGAGATTTGACTTTGCATCTCAGCTCATACTCCGTCGAGGCTTTTATCATACACTCCAACTTACCCCCAACGGTCAGGGTGAAGTTGGTAACTGCTGAAAAGCACTCCTCACATGTCACTGAGGAGGACGCACTTGACACTAATTTTGATTATATCTCTCAAGACCCAAGTATATTCACATTTATCCTCCCATCGTCTCTCGATGTCAAAAGTAGAGATAACTCAGAGTGGATCGATGCGCCATTAGCAGGGCTGTCGATTCATCTCTGCACCCCTTCTTCAGGTTGGCCCGAGGAGGCGGTAACCCATGCGTTTGACTACGAAATTAGTATCAAAGTATACTACTTTGAAGATTCAGTCACCCCTACTACCGACTCCCTTCCGGAACCACACTTCACGCTTCAGTTTCGTTTCAATCGGGATACGTCTTCAGCGGATCTACTGCAAGCACTCCTTGCAAGACCATCCCTCGACCGAGTTACCTACCTTAACGTCAGCTGTCTTGCACCGAACGAAATGATCACCCCCTCATCGATGGGGAGACTTCCTTGTGTCCTTTTTCACGCAAGATCATCGACCAGGTCTTCAGACCTTGTGCCTAGCTGGCGACAGTGTTTTGGCACTGTCCTATTTAATTAACTCGCTCGTCGATGGTTCAGCTCGGGGTCTCTCTCCACAGTCTGGACTCTTCGTCTCATTGCGTAATCTCGTCATTAGTAACCTCAGAAAACCGCAATGGGACGGAGACGGAATTTCGAAGATTCTAGAGACACTTTGTGACTCAGTATCCAAACAAACACGACGATTCCATGGAAGTTGTACCCCCTTTTCAACACTTGTATTAGAACATTGGGATGTCCCTCACCAACTGTGCCTCGATTTCGTGGATTCCGTCGCGGAAACTTTTCACCAGCAAGGTCGCTTCACGCGAGACTTACCCATGATACAAGTCTATAACGATCAACGTCCCTCCTCTCCCGCACCATCTGCTTTAATAACACAAAACCCGGATGCTGACTTGGATGGAACGCAGTTGGATTTATCTGAGGATGACGCTATCCAGGAAGAGGGTGACTGGACGACTCATTTAGCTCATGGAAGAGTTATTTTTGATTTCAAAGGTGATGGTGGTGTGATTGTTGAGCAAAACCTCTCCTTCTGATCGCTGTACAACTGATATGGAAGAGAAATGTATGTCCAAGAATAAGATGATAGACCTAATATACAAAAGACTAGCCCTGCTTTTTTGGAATTTGTCGGAGGCATCCGAACTTCTCCATCAAGAGGGGCGGTTCACCCAGAACCTACCTATGATACCATTCTATTATCTCAAATCCTTCCCTACCCATTCCTATTCTCCTGTCACAAACGAAAACCCGGAGTCCGATTTGGATTTTAGTGCCTTCGTACCGTATGAGCCGGATGCTGCTCTCCCGGGGGAAGGAGATTGGGTACAGCACCTGATTTACGGAAGGGTCTCATTCGATTTCAAAGGCAATGGTGGCATTCAGATTGAAGAATTTTTTTGTGATTACGAGTAGCACTACTGTACAGAATGTATTACCGAACGGCATAGATCTAAAGATCTAGGTATTATATATACAAATAGTTATTCCATTTGAAGTAGGGGCACTTACCAGCCTCCAACTCCACCCGTAGTCAGGAGGGCACGAAACACAGAGGCACCTCGAAC